GGATCCTCCTGAGGCAGGCGGTGACCAGGTTGGCAGCCAGGGGGACCCTTGTCCCATTTTGGGCCATTTCCCCATTTTTTCCCCATTTTCCTCCATATTTTCCCCATTTCTTGACCGATTTTCTCCATTTTTTCACCGATTTTCACCATTTTTTCACCGTTTTTCCCTGTTTTTTCCCCAAACCCACCTGTGCAGGAGGATCCTCCTCAGGCAGGCGGTGACCAGGTTGGCTGCCAGGGTAAAATTGCCCCATTTTTGGGCCATTTTCGTCCATATTTTCCCCATTTTTTGTCCGTTTTTGGTCATTTTTTCACCGATTTTCACCATTTTTTCACCGTTTTTTCCCATTTTTTCAGCATTTTTCCCCAAACCCACCTGTGCAGGAGGATCCTCCTGAGGCAGGCGGGTGACCAGGTTGGCTGCCAGGGGGACACTTGCCCCATTTTGGGGCCATTTTTCCTCCATATTTTCCCCATTTCTTGACGGATTTTCATCGTTTTTTTTCACCGATTTTCCCATTTTTTCACCGTTTTTTCCCATTTTTTCAGTATTTTGCCCCAAACCCACCTGTGCAGGAGGATCCTCCTGAGGCAGGCGGTGACCAGGTTGGCACCCAGAGGACACTTGTCCCATTTTTGGGCCATTTCCCCATTTTTGGTCCGTTTTTGGTCATTTTTTCACCGATTTTTTTCCCATTTTTTCACCGATTTTTCCCGTTTTTTCAGCATTTTGCCCCAAACCCACCTGTGCAGGAGGATCCTCCTGAGGCAGGCGGGTGACCAGGTTGGCAGCCAGGGGACCCTTGTCCCATTTTGGGCCATTTTCCTCCATATTTTCCCATTTTTTTCACCGATTTTTCCCCATTTTTTGACCAATTTTCTCCATTTTTTCACCGTTTTTTCCCATTTTTTCCCCATTTTGCCCCAAACCCATCTGTGCAGGAGGATCCTCCTGAGGCAGGCGTGACCAGGTTGGCATTTTAGGGTGAAATTGCCCCATTTTGGGGCCGTTTCCCCATTTTTTGGTCCGTTTTTGGTCATTCCTTGGCCGATTTTCCCCATTTTTTTCACCGATTTTCTCCATTTTTTCACTGATTTTTCCCATTTTTTCAGCATTTTGCCCCAAACCCACCTGTGCAGGAGGATCCTCCTGAGGCAGGCAGTGACCAGGTTGGCACCCAGGGGACAGTTGTCCCATTTTTTGGGCCATTTTTGGGCCATTTCCCCATTTTTCCTCCATATTTTTCCCATTTTTTTCACCGATTTTCTCCATTTTTTCACCGTTTTTTCCCATTTTTCCCCGTTTTTGCCCCCAAACCCACCTGTGCAGGAGGATCCTCCTGAGGCAGGCGTGACCAGGTTGGCTGCCAGGGGACACTTGCCCCATTTTGGGCCATTTTGGGGCCGTTTCCCCATTTTTTGACCGATTTTCCCCATTTTTTCACCGATTTTTCTCCATTTTTTCACCGTTTTTCCCCGTTTTTTGCCCCAAACCCACCTGTGCAGGAGGATCCTCCTGAGGCAGGCAGTGACCAGGTTGGCACCCAGGGGACACTTGTCCCATTTTGGGCCATTTCCCCATTTTTGGTCCGTTTTTTAGTCATTTTTTGTCCGTTTTTGGTCAATTTTTTTCACCGATTTTCTCCATTTTTCACCGATTTTTCCCATTTTTTCAGTATTTTTCCCCAAACCCACCTGTGCAGGAGGATCCTCCTGAGCAGGCAGTGACCAGGTTGGCACCCAGGGTTAAAATTGCCCCATTTTGGGCCATTTCCCCATTTTTCCCCATTTTCCTCCATATTTTCTCCATTTCTTGACCGATTTTCCCCATTTTTTCACCGATTTTCTCCGTTTTTTCCCAATTTTCTCCATTTTGCCCCAAACCCACCTGTGCAGGAGGATCCTCCTGAGGCAGGCGTGACCAGGTTGGCACCCAGGGTAAAATTGCCCCATTTTGGGCCATTTCCCCATTTTCCTCCATATTTTCCCCATTTCTTGACCGATTTTCCCCATTTTTTCACCGATTTTCTCCATTTTTTCACCGTTTTTTCCCGTTTTTTTCAGTATTTTTCCCCAAACCCACCTGTGCAGGAGGATCCTCCTGAGGCAGGCGGGTGACCAGGTTGGCAGCCAGGATAAGATTGCCCCATTTTGGGCCATTTTGTCCATATTTTCCCCATTTTTTGTCCGTTTTTGGTCATTCCTTGGCCGATTTTCTCCATTTTTTCACCATTTTTTCCCGTTTTTTTCCCCATTTTGCCCCAAACCCACCTGTGCAGGAGGATCCTCCTGAGGCAGGCAGTGACCAGGTTGGCTGCCAGGGGACAGTTGTCCCCATTTTGGGGCCATTTCCCATTTCTTGACCGATTTTCCCCATTTTTTGTCCGTTTTTGGTCATTTTTTCACCGTTTTTTCCCGTTTTTTCAGTATTTTTCCCCAAACCCACCTGTGCAGGAGGATCCTCCTGAGGCAGGCAGTGACCAGGTTGGCTGCCAGGGGACAGTTGTCCCTCCTGACGGCCTCCAGGCCCTTGCAGTCCAGTTTGGGGGCGCCCCCGGAGCCCCCCGGGAAGCAGAGGCCGGCGTAGCGCTTCTTGCTGATCAGCAGGTAGGGCAGGTACACCTGCAAAAGGGGAAAAAAACCCCAAAATCTTCCTTCCACACTGGTCTAAAATTTATCTCAAATTTTTGAGCCAGTTTTTAGATTTTTTTCCCCCAGTTTTTAGCGAATTTTTATCATTTTTTATGCCATTTTTTAGCTATTTTTAATCATTTTTTTTTAGATTTTTTTCCCCCATTTTTCAGCAATTTTTAATCATTTTTTTTAGATTTTTCCCCCCCAGTTTTTAGCAATTTTAATTTTTTTTTCTCCCCATTTTATATAATTTTTTTTAGATTTTTTCCCATTTTTTAAGCTATTTTTTACCATTTTATAGATTTTTTTCCCATTTTTAGCTACTTTTTAATCATTTTTTTAATATTTTTCCCCCATTTTTATAATTTTTTTAGATTTTTTCCCCCAATTTTTAGCGATTTTTTATCATTTTTCTGCCATTTTTTAGCGATTTTTTATCTTTTTTTTCCGCCATTTTTAGCTATTTTTATTAATTTTTTAAAGATTTTTTTCCTCCCCATTTTTAAAAAATTTTTTTAGATTTTTTTCCCCAGTTTTTAGCTATTTTTTATCATTTTTTAGATTTTTTTCCTCCCATTATTTTTTACTTTTTTCCCCAAAATCCCCCCCCCCAAAACCCCAAAATCTCCCCAAAAACCCCAAAATCCACCCCCAAAACCGCCCCCAAAAACCTCTTCAAAAAACCGCAAAATTCCCCCTAAAAACCCCCAAATTTCCCCCAAAAACCCCATAAAATCCCCCCAAAACAACCTAAAAAGCCCCAAAAAGCCCCCAAATTCACCCCAAACCCCCAAAAGGCCCCAAAAAGCCCCAAAAATCCCCAAATTTTGGGTGGAACCTTCTCGAACTCGAGGCGGATGGGGGCCGGGAAGTGCCCGGAGACCCAGGCGGCCACAAAAGCCCCAAAAACCCCAAAATTCCCCCTTAAAAACCCCAAATTTCCCCCAAAAACCCCACAAAATCCCCTTCAAACAATCCCAAATTTCCCCCAAATTACCCTAAACCCCAAAAGCCCCAAAATCCCCCTCAAAAAAACCCAAAAATTCCTCTTAAAACCCCAACCACCCCCCAAAAAACCCCTTCAAAAAACCGCAAAATTCCCCCTAAAAACTCCCAAATTTTCCCCAAAAACCCCATAAAACCCCCCTCAAACAACCCAAAATTCACCCCAAACTCCCCCAAACCCCAAAAAATCCCCAAAAAGCCCCAAAATCCCCAAATTTTGGGAGGAACCTTCTCGAACTCGAGGCGGATGGGGGCCGGGAAGTGCCCGGAGACCCAGGCGGCCACGGCGCGGCCCAGGGCGGCGGCCTCGGGCACCGAGGGCACGGCCAGGCGGCACATGACGGAGTCGGTGTCCCCGTACACCACCTGGGGACACAAATTTGGGGTTAGAAATGGGAAAATTGGGATTGGGGCATCGAAAAAACCCCAAAAAGGCAAAAATCCCCGTTAAAATCCACCCAGAAATGGCTGAAATCTCATTAAAATCCCATGGAAATGACCCAAAATGGCGCCGAGGGCACATGACGGAGTCGGTGTCCCCGTGCACCACCTGGGGACCAAAATTTGGGGTTAGAAATGGGAAAATTGGGATTGGCACCTCGAAAAAACCCCAAAAAGGCAAAAATCCCCATTAAAATCCATCAAAGAATGGCTAAAATAGACCAAAATCTCAATAAAATGACCCAAAATGGCACTGAGGGCACATGACGGAGTCGGTGTCACCGTACACCACCTGGGGACACAAATTTGGGGTTAGAAACGGGGAAAATTGGGATTGGGGCATCGAAAAACCCCAAAATGGCAAAAATCCCCGTTAAAATCGGCCAAAAATTGGCTAAAATAGACCAAAATCCCATGGAAATGACCCAAAATGTCGCCTCAGGTGATGTCACTGGGTCTGTGTCCCCGTACACCACCTGGGGACCGAAATTTGGGGTTAGAAACCCAAAAATTGGGATTGGCACCTCAAAAAACCCCAAAAACCCAAAAATCCCCATGAAAATCGGCCAAAAAATGGCAAAAATCCCATTAAAATCCCATGGAAATGACCCAAAATGGCACCGAGGGCACATGACGGAGTCGGTGTCACCGTGCACCACCTGGGGGGGCGAAATTTGGGGTTAGAAACCCAAAAATTGGGGCTGGGGAGCTCAAATTTGGGATCGGCAGCTGAAAAATCCCAAAAAAAACCCAATAAAATGGGCCCCAGGTGTGCCCAGGTGTGTCTGTGGTTATTATCAGGTGTTCCCTGTGCCCAGGTGTGTTGTTACATGTGCCCAGGTGTGTTACCTGTACCCAGGTCTGTGCCAGGTGTGCCCAGGTGTGTTACCTGTGCCCAGGTGTGTTGTTCCCTGTGCCCAGGTATGGCCCAGCTGTGCCCCAGGTGTGTTCCCTGCACCCAGGTGTGTTGTTACTCATGCCCAGGTGTGCCCCAGGTGTGCCCAGGTGTGTAACCCGTACCGAGGTATGTCCCAGGTGTGCCCAAGTCTGTGCCCAGGTGTGTTGTTACCTGTCCCCAGGTGTGCCCAGGTCTGTGCCAGGTGTGTTCCCTGTGCCCAGGTGTGCCCAGGTGTGCCCAGGTCTGTTGTTCCGTAGCCCCAGGTGTGCCCCAGGTGTGTTCCCTGCACCCAGGTGTGTGCCCAGGTGTGCCCAGGTGTGTAACCCATACCCAGGTATGTCCCAGGTGTGCCCAAGTCTGTGCCCAGGTGTGTTGTTACCTGTGCCCAGGTGTGCCCCAGGTGTGCCCCAGGTGTGTTTTTACCTGCACCCAGGTGTGCTCCCTGTGCCCAAGTGTGTTGTTACGCATGCCCAGGTGTGTGCCCAGGCATGCCCAAGTGTGTTACCTGCGCCCAGGTGTGTGCCCAGGCATGCCCAAGTGTGTTACCTGCACCCAGGTGTGCCCAGGTGTGTTTTTCCCTGTGCCCAGGTGTGCCCAGGTGTGTTACCTGCACCCAGGTGTGTGCCCAGGTGTGTTACCTGCACCCAGGTCTGTCACCTGTGCCAGGTGTGTTGTTCCCTGCACCCAGCTGTGCCCAGGTGCGTTACCTGCACCCAGGTGTGTTCCCTGTGTTCAGGTGTGTGCCCAGGTGTGTGCCCAGGTGCATTACCTGCACCCAGGTGTTGTTCCCTGTGCCCAGGTGTGTGCCCAGGTGCGTTACTTGCACCCAGGTGTTGTTCCCTGTGCCCAGGTGTGTGCCCAGGTGTGTGTCCAGGTCTGTGTCCAGGCATGCCCAGGTGGCCCAGGTGTGTGCCCAGGTGTGTGCCCAGGTGTGCCCAGGTGTGCTACCTGCACCCAGGTGTGTGCCCAGGCGTGCCCAGGTGTGTGCCCAGGTGTGCCCAGGTGCGTTACCTGCACATCCGGGTACTGGCTCTCCACCAGCTGCTTGGTCCTCTCGATCATCTGCCGCCCAAAGCCCGTGACGCTCTGCAGGGACACGGGGAGACACAGGTGGGACACAGGTGAGGCACAGGTGGGGCACAGGTGAGACACAGGGGGGACACAGGTGGGACACAGGTGAGTGCCAGGTGTGTGCCCAGGTGAGTGCCAGGTGTGTGCCAGGTGTGTGCCCAGGTGAGTGCCAGGTGTCCCCCAGGTGTGCCCAGGTGTGATTTGGGTTCCTCAGGTGGGGTTTGGGGGTGTCCAGGTGTCCCTCAGGTGTGCCTCAGGTGTGCCCAGGTGTTCCCCAGGTGTGCCCAGGTGTAACTTGGGTTCCTCAGGTGCCCCTCAGATGAGGTTTGGGGCTGTCCAGGTGTGTTTACCTGTGCCCAGCTGTGTCCGTGGCTATCCCAGGTGTGCCCAGGTGTGTTTGAAGCTATCCCAGGTGCATTTACCTGGACCCAGGTGTGCCTCTGGCTATCCCAGGTGTGCCCAGCTGTGTCCCAGGTGTGTCTCTGGCTATCCCAGGTATGGCCAGGTGTGCCCCAAACCCCTGCCAGGTGTGCTCAGGTGTCCCTCAGGTGTGCCCAGGTGTGTTTGAAGCTATCCCGAGTGCATTTACCTGGACCCAGGTGAGTTTCTGGCTACCCCAGGTGTACCCAGGTGTGTCCCAGGTGTGTTTATGGCCATCCCAGGTGTGCCCAGGTGTGATTTGGGTTCCTCAGATGGGATTTCGGGGTGTGTAGGTGTCCCTCAGGTGTGCCCAGGTGTGCCCAAACCCCTCCCAGGTGTGCCCAGGTGTGTTCGAAGCTATCCCAGGTGCATTTACCTGGACCCAGGTGTGCCCCAGGTGTTCCTCAGGTGTGCCCAGGTATGATTTGGGTTCCTCAGATGCCCCCCAGGTGTGGTTTGGGGCTGTCCAGGTGTGTTTACCTGTGCCCAGGTGTGTCCCAGGTGTGTCCCAGGTGTGTTTGTGTCTATCCCAGCTGTGTCCCAGCTGTGTCCCAGCTGTGCCCAGGTGTTCCCAGGTGTGCCCAGGTGTGTTTCAGTCTCACCTGTGATATCTCCAGGCAGGGCAGGCGCCCGGCCTGTGCCCCGGTGAAGCCGTAGACGCTGTGGGTGTGCCCAGGTGTGTGCCCAGGTGTGTTTACCTGTGCCCAGGTGTGTGCCCAGGTGTGTCCCAGGTGTTCCCAGGTGTGTGTTTCTCTCACCTGTGATATCTCCAGGCAGGGCAGGCGCCCGGCCTGCGCCCCGGTGAAGCCGTAGACGCTGTTGGCGCTGTGGGTGTGCCCAGGTGTGTGCCCAGGTGTGTGCCCAGGTGTGCCCAGGTGTGTTTACCTGTGCCCAGGTGTGTTTCAGTCTCACCTGTGATATCTCCAGGCAGGGCAGGCGCCCGGCCTGTGCCCCGGTGAAGCCGTAGACGCTGTTGGCACTGTGGGTGTGCCCAGCTGTGCCCAGGTGTGTTTGTGCCTATCCCAGCTGTGTTCCAGGTGTGTTTACCTGTGCCCAGGTGTGTTTCAGTCTCACCTGTGATATCTCCAGGCAGGGCAGGCGCCCGGCCTGCGCCCCGGTGAAGCCGTAGACGCTGTTGGCGCTGTGGGTGTGCCCAGGTGTGTGCCCAGGTGTGTGCCCAGGTGTTCCCAGGTGTGTTTACCTGTGATATCTCCAGGCAGGGCAGGCGCCCAGCCTGCGCCCCGGTGAAGCCGTAGACGCTGTTGGCGCTCACCTTCAGCGCCAGCTGCCGCCCGTCCAGCACCTGGCGCCGCTCGGGGTCCGGCTCCTCGGCCAGCGCCGCCTTCACCCTGCCGGGAGCCGCGGTGTGAGCGCACCTGGGCACAGGTGAGCGCACCTGGGAGAAAAATCCCAAAAAAATCCCCACAAAAATCCCCGTGGAAATGGCCAAAAATTCAAAAAAATTCAAAAAAATTCATCAAAATTTCCATTTTGGGTTCTGTGTTTCCTTTACCCTGCCGGGAGCCGCGGGTGAGCGCACCTGGGACCAGGTGAGCACACCTGGGAGAAAAATCCCATAAAAATCCAAAAAAATCCCCATGGAAATGGCCAAAAATTCACCCAAATTCACCCAAATTCCCCCAAATTTTCATTTTGGGTCCTGTGTTTCCTTCACCCTGCCGGGAGCCGCGGGTGAGCGCACCTGGGAACAGGTGAGCGCACCTGGGCAGGAATTCCCAAAAAAATCCCACAAAAAACCCCGTGGAAATGGCCAAAAATTCACAAAAATTCACCCAAATTTACCCAAAATCCCGTTTTGGGTCCGGCATTCATTGTGTTCACCCTGCCAGGAGCCGTGGGTGAGCGCACCTGGGAACAGGTGAGCGCACCTGGGCAGGAATTCCCAAAAAAATCCCACAAAAAACCCACAGAAATCCCACAAAAATCCCAAAAAATCCCCATGGAAATGGCCAAAAATTCACCCAAATTCACCCAAAAATTCCTGTTTCGGGTCCTGTGCCACCTTTACTCTGCCAGGACCTGCAGGTGAGCACACCTGGGCAAAAATCCCACAGAAATCCCCACAGAAATCCCACAAAAATCCCACAAAAATCCCAAAAATCCCCATGGAAATGGCCAAAAATTCACAAAAATTCATCAAAATGCACCCAAATTCACCCAATTTCCCATTTTGGGTTCTGTGTTTCCTTTACCCTGCCGGGAGCCGCGGGTGAGCGCACCTGGGCACAGGTGAGCGCACCTGGGCAAAAATCCCAAAAAAAATCCCACAGAAATCCCACAGAAATCCCACAAAAACCCCAAAAATCCCTGTGGAAATGGTAAAAAATTCACAAAAATTCACAAAAATTCCCCCAAATTTTCATTTTGGGTCCTGTGTTTCCTTTACCCTGGCAGGACCCGCAGGTGAGCGCACCTGGGAACAGGTGAGCGCACCTGGGAGAAAAATCCCATAAAAATCCAAAAAAATCCCCATGGAAATGGCCAAAAATTCACAAAAATTCACCCAAATTGCCCCAAATTCCCGTTTTGGGTTCTGTGCTGCCTTTACCCTGCCAGGACCCGCAGGTGAGCACACCTGGGAACAGGTGAGCGCACCTGGGCAGGAATTCCCAAAAAAACCCCACAGAAATCCCCAAAATTCCAGTGGAAATGGCCAAAAATTCACCCAAATTCCCCCAAATTCTTCCCCAATTTTGCCCCAAAATTTCCCCCAAATTCCCCTCCAATTTCCACCAAAATCTCCAAATTTCCCCCAAATCCCCCCAAAATCCCCCAAATTCCTCCCAAATTTCCCCCAATTCCCCCAAAATCCCCCAAATTCTCCCCGAATTCCCTAAAATTCCCCCAAATTGCCCAATTTTCCCCCAAATTCCTCCCAAATCCCCCCCAATTCCCCCCTAAAATCCCCAAATTCCACCCAAATTCTCCTCCAATTTCTGCCAAATTCCCTAAAATTCCCCCAAATTCCTCCCAAATTTCGCCCCAAAATCCCCAAATTTCGCCCCAAAATCCCCAATTTTTCCCAAATTTCTCCCAAAATCCCAAATTTTCCCCAATTTCCCCCAAATTTCCCAAATTCCCCATTCCCCACCTGCTCCTGGCCGCCAGCAGCCCCTCCAGGACCCGGGGCAGGACCCCCCTGCGCACCCGGGGGGTCACAAAGAGCTGCCCCGTGGGGGTGCGGATGAAATCATCGGGACCCAGCCTGGAAAACCAGTATGGACCAGTATAAACCAGTATGGAACCAGTAAACATCAATAGAAACCAGTATAAACCAATAAACATCAATGGAAACCAGTATGGACCAGTATGGGCCCAGCTGCCCCGTGGGGGTGCGGATGAAATCATCGGGACCCAGCCTGCAGGAAAACCAGTATAAACCAGTATAAACCAGTATAAACCAGTAAACATCAATGGAAACCAGTATAGACCAGTAAACATCAATGGAAACCAGTATAGACCAGTAAACATCAATAGAAACCAGTATAAACCAATAAACATCAATGGAAACCAGTATGGACCAGTACGGGCCCAGCTGCCCCGTGGGGGTGCGGATGAAATCATCGGGACCCAGCCTGGAAAACCAGTATGGAACCAGTATAAACCAGTATGAACCAGTAAACATCAATAGAAACCAGTATGGACCAGTAAACATCAATAGAAACCAGTATAAACCAGTATAAACCAATAAACATCAATGGAAACCAGTACGGGCCCAGCTGCCCCGTGGGGGTGCGGATGAAATCATCGGGACCCAGCCTGCAGGGAAACCAGTATGGACCAGTATAAACCAGTAAACATCAATGGAAACCAGTATAAACCAATAAACACCAGTATAAACCAGTATGGACCAGTACAGGCCCCAGCTGCCCCGTGGGGGTGCGGATGAAATCATCGGGACCCAGCCTGAAATACCAGTATAAACCAGTATAAACCAGTATAAACCAGTAAACATCAATGGAAACCAGTATGGACCAGTAAACATCAATGGAAACCAGTATGGACCAATAAACACCAGTATAAACCAGTATGGACCAGTATGGGCCCAGCTGCCCCGTGGAGGTGTGGATGAAATCATCGGGGCCCAGCCTGAAAAACCAGTATAAACCAGTATAAACCAGTATGGAACCAGTATAGACCAGTAAACATCAATAGAAACCAGTATAAACATCAATAGAAACCAATAAACACCAGTATAAACCAGTATGGACCAGTACGGGCCCAGCTGCCCCATGGGGGTGCGGATGAAATCATCGGGGCCCAGCCTGAAATACCAGTATAGACCAGTATAAACCAGTATAAACCAGTATGGACCAGTATGGAACCAGTAAACACCAATAGAAACCAGTATAAACATCAATAGAAACCAATAAACACCAGTATAAACCAGTATGGACCAGTATGGGCCCAGCTGCCCTGTGGGGGTGCGGATGAAATCATCGGGACCCAGCCTGAAATACCAGTACGGACCAGTGTAAACCAGTATGAACCAGTAAACATCAATAGAAACCAGTATAAACCAGTATAAACCAGTAAACATCAATGGAAACCAGTATGGACCAGTATGGGCCCAGCTGCCCCGTGGGGGTGCGGATGAAATCATCGGGGCCCAGCCTGGAAAACCAGTATGGACCAGTATAAACCAGTACGGACCAGTATGGACCAGTATGGACCAGTATAAACCATTCCAAACCAGTATAAACCAGTGCCCCAGATGCCCTGCCATCCCAAACCAGTATAAACCAGTATAGACCAGTACCCACCTGTATTTCTGGGCGCCCCCTGGTGGCAGCAGGGTGGTGTAGCACAGGTACAGAGGGGAGAGCTCCCAGTATAAACCAGTATAAACAATTCCAAACCCATATAAACCAAACCAGTATAAACCATTCCAAACCAGTATAAACCAAACCAGTATAAACCAGTACAAACCAGTACCCACCCGTATTTCTGGGCGCCCCCTGGTGGCAGCAGGGTGGTGTAGCACAGGTTGTGGGCGATCATGATGGACGGGTACAGGAGGAGAAATCCAGGGTGGCAATGGGGACATCGTAGTACCTGGGACAAAATTGGGCAGAGTTTGGGGTTTTTTTGGGGATTTTTTGGGATTTTTGAGAATTTTTGAGAATTTTTGGGATTTTTTGAGAATTTTTGAGGTTTTTTTCGTAATTTTTTGAGAATTTTGGGGGGGTTTTGGAGATTTTTTGAGAATTTTTGAGGGTTTTTTTCAGGATTTTTTGAGAATTTTTTGAGGTTTTTTCGGGATTTTTTTGAGAATTTTTTCGGGATTTTTTGGGGTTTCTTGGGGAATTTTTGGGGTTTTTTTGAGAATTTTTTTAGGTTTTTTTCGGGATTTTTTGAGGCTTTTTTGAGAATTGTTGAGGTTTTTTTTCGGGATTTTTGGAGGCTTTTTTGAGAATTTTTTGAGGGTTTTTTTCGGGATTTTTGGAGGGTTTTTTTCAGGATTTTTTGGGGATTTTTTGAGAATTTTTGAGGCTTTTTTGGGGATTTTTTTGAAGTTTTTTTCGTGATTTTTTAGGGGATTTTTTGATAATTTTTTGGGATTTTTTGAGATTTTTTTGAGGTTTTTTTCAGGATTTTTTTTTGAGGTTTTTTCGGGATTTTTGGGGAATTTTTGGGGTTTTTTTTGAGAATTTTTTTAGGGTTTTTTTGGATTTTGTTGAGGTGGGGTTTTTTTGAAAATTTTTGAGGTTTTTTTTTCATGATTTTTTGAGGATTTTAAAAAAATTTTTGGGGATTTTTAAAAATTTTTTGAGGTTTTTTGAGAACTTTTGGTGATTTTTTGAGAATTTTTGAGAATTTTTGGGGGTATTTTGAGAATTTTTTGAGGGTTTTTTTTTTTGAGAATTTTTGAGGGCTTTTATCGTGATTTTTTGGGGATTTTTGAGAATTTTTGGGGCTTTTTTGGGGATTTTTTGAGGTTTTTTTCGTGATTTTTTGGGGATTTTTTGAGAATTTTTAGGGCTTTTTAAAGAATTTTTTGAGGGTTTTTTTTAAGATTTTTGGGTATTTTTTGGGGGATTTTTTTGGGATTTTTGAGGATTTTTTTGGGATTTTTTGAATTCTTTTTCGTGATTTTTTGGGGATTTAAAAAAAATTTTTGGGGCCTTTGTGAGATTTTTTTGGGGTTTTTTTTTGATAATTTTTCGAGTTTTTTGTTCAGGATTTTTTGGGGATTTTTGGGGGCTTTTTGAGAATTTTTTGAGGGTTTTTTTCGGGATTTTTTGAGGGTTTTTTCGTGATTTTTTGAGGTTTTTTTGAGAATTTTTGGGGTTTTTTTTTTTTTTGAGAATTTTTTGAGGCTTTTCTGAGAATTTTTTGAGGGTTTTTTTTTCGGGATTTTTTGAGGGTTTTTTTGGGATTTTTTGGGGGATTTTAATGGTTTTTTTTTTTTGTGGGGATTTTTGGGGTGTTTTGAGTTTTTTTTCAGCATTTTTGGGGAGTTTTGGGGAAATTTGGTGGTTTTAATGGGTTTTTTTGGAGTTTTTTGAGGTGGTTTTGGAGTTTTTTTGCCAGGTTTTTTGGGTTTTCTTTGAGGATTTTTAAAGGATTTTTTGAGGAGGCTTTCAGGTATTTTGTGGGGTTTTTACGAACTGATTTTGGTTTCCTCTTTTCAGAGTTTTGGGGTTTGTTTCAGAGATGTTTTGTTGGTTTTTTTTTCAGGATTGAGGATTTTTTCCGAGTTTTTTTGGGGTTTTTTTGTTGGGTTTGGGCAATTTTGAAGGGTTTTTTTTGCAGGGACCATGGAGGAATTTTTTGGTTTTTTTCAGGGGATTTGGGGAATTTTTGGGGTTTTTTGTGCCCCTCACTCACCCCTTGAGGGGCTCGATCACCGTGGCCCCCTCGAAATCTTCTCCTCCCTCCGACTTCAACCACCGGCAGCAGCAAATCCTCCTGCATGGCCTGGGAGGGCAAAAAAAAACCCAAAATGATCCAAATTCACCCCAAAAACATCCCAGAAAACACACCCCATAAAAAACCATAAAAATCCCATTGGAAAAAAAAAAAAAAATCCAAAAAATCCCCTTTAAAAATGTCCAAAAATCCCTAAAAACCCTTCCCAAACCCCCCCCACCAAAATCCTACCTTAAAAAACACCCAAATCCCCAAAAATCCCGAAAGCCCTTCCCAAAATTCATCCCAAAACAGCCCAGGTGTCCCAATGCTCCCAAATCCCCTCAGCGTCCCCAAATCCCCTCAGTGTCCCCAAATCCCCTCACCTGCAGCTCTGTCAACCGTCAGCCATTTTGTCCCCTCATGTTTCCCGCCCTTTTCTCCCCTCACGTTTCCCGCCCTTTCTCTCCCTCACGTTTCCCGCCCTTTTCTCCCCTCACGTTTCCCGCCCTTTTCCCCTCACATTTCCCACCCTTCTCCCCTCACGTTTCCCTTCATTTTCCACTCACATTTGTCACCATTTTCCCCTTCACCTTCCCCTCCATTTCCCCTTCACCTTCCCCTCCATTTTCCCCTCACATTTCCTGCCCTTTTCTCCCTCACCTTTGCTGTCATTTTCCCCTCACTTTTTCCTCCATTTTCCTCCCACATTTCCCACTCTTTTTCTCCTCACGTTCGCCGCCATTTTCCCCTCACATTTCCCACCCTTTTCTCCTCACATTTCCCTCCATTTTCCCCTCACTTTTGCTGCCCTTTCTCCTCTCACATTTCCCGCCCTTTTCCCCTCACGTTTCCCTTCATTTTCACTCACATTTCTCACCATTTTCCCCTTCACCTTCCCCTCCATTTTCCCCTCACATTCGCCGCCCTTTTCCCTCACATTTCCCTCCCTTTCCCCCTCACATAATTCACCATTTTCCCCTCACCTTTCCCATCATTTTCCCCTCACTTTTCCCTCCATTTTCCCCTCACATTTCCTGCCCTTTTCTCCCTTGCCTTTGCTGCCATTTTCCCCTCACTTTTGCCACCATTTTCCCCTCACATTTGCCGCCATTTCCCCCTCACATTTCCCAGCAATTTCCCCTCATGTTCACCGCCATTTTCCCCTCACATTTGCTGCCCTTTTCTCCCCTAAGGTTTCCCTCGATTTTCCCCTCACATTTCCAGCCCTTTTCCCTTCACGTTTCCAGCCCTTTTCTCTTCACATTTTCTACCTTTTCCCCCTGACCTTTACCACCATTTTCCCCTCACCTTTCTCACCATTTTCTCTCCTCACATTTGCCACCATTTTCTCTCCTCACATTCGCCGCCATTTTCCCCTCACATTTCCCAGCAATTTCCCCTCACATTTCCCAGCAATTTCCCCTCACGTTCGCCGCCATTTTCTCCTCACATTTCCCAGCAATTTCCCCTCATGTTTGCCGCCATTTTCCCCTCACCTTTCTCACCATTTTCTCCCCTCACATTCACCACCATTTTCCCCTCACATTTCCCAGCAATTTCCCCTCATGTTCGCTGCCATTTTCCCCTCACCTTTCTCACCATTTTCTCCCCTCACATTCACCGCCATTTTCCCCTCACGCTCGCCGCCATTTTCCCCTCACATTTCCCAGCATTTTCTCCTCACATTTCCCAGCAATTTCCCCTCATGTTTGCCACCATTTTCCCCTCACATTTCCCAGAAATTTCCCCTCATGTTTGCCGCCATTTTCCCCTCACATTCGCCGCCATTTTCCCCTCACGTTCACCACCATTTTCCCCTCACATTTCTCACCATTTTCTCCCCTCACATTCGCCGCCATTTTCCCCTCACATTTCTCACCATTTTCTCCCCTCACGTTCGCCGCCATTTTCCCCCACGCTCACCGCCATTTTCCCCTCACCTTTCTCACCATCTTCCCCTCACATTCGCTGCCATTTTCCCCCCTCACATTTGCCGCCATTTTCCCCTCACGCTCGCCGCCATTTTCCCCTCACGTTCGCCGCCATTTTCCCCTCACCTTTCTCACCATGTTCCCCCAACATTGGCTGCCATTTTCTCCTCACACTCCCCCCTCTCTGTGTCCCCTCAACGTCCCCAAATCCCCCACAACCCCAAACCCCCAATGTCCCCGTGGTCACCTGCCGCAGGAGCTGCGCCACCACCTTGACCTGCTGGCCGCGGGTGAGCAGGTAGCTGAGGGGCACGGCCGTCACCCGCGCCATCTCCACCAGCGTCACCAGCGTCATCAGGCGCTCCAGGAGCCGCAGCGGCAGCACGGCGTCCTTCAGGCAGTACAGGGCCAGGCGGCGCCGCGTCTGCGCGTCCCCGTTCTGAGGGGACACAGGTGACTTGGGGACACCATGTTGGGGACATGGCGTCCTTCAGGCAGTACAGGCCCAGGTGGCGCCGCGTCTGTGCGTCCCCGTTCTGAGGGGACATTGGGGACACAGGTGACATGGGGACGCCATTGGGGACTGTGGGGACACCATATTGGGGACACCATTGGGGACAGTGGGGACACGGCGTCCTTCAGGCAGTACAGGGCCAGGCGGCGCCGCGTCTGCGTGTCCCTGTTCTGAGGGGACACAGGTGACATGGGGACACCATTGGGGACATGGGGACACCATGTTGGGGACAGTGGGGACACCATGTTGGGGACAGTGGGGACACCATGTTGGGGACACCATGTTGGGGACAGTGGGGCCACGGCGTCCTTCAGGCAGTACAGGGCCAGGCGGCGCCACGTCTGCGCGTCACCGTTCTGAGGGGACACAGGTGACATGGGGACAGTGGGGACACCATGTTGGGGACAGTGGGGAAACCATACTGGGGACACGGCGTCCTTCAGGCAGTACAGGGCCAGGCGGCGCCGCGTCTGCGCGTCCCCGTTCTGAGGGGACACAGGGGACATGGGGACACCATGTTGGGGACATGGCGTCCTTCAGGCAGTACAGGGCCAGGCGGCGCCGCGTCTGCGCGTCACCGTTCTGAGGGGACACGGGGGACATGGGGACACCATGTTGGGGACACCATATTGGGGACATGGGGACATGGCGTCCTTCAGGCAGTACAGGGCCAGGCGGCGCCGCGTCTGCGCGTCCCCATTCTGAGGGGACACGGGGGACATGGGACACCATTGGGGACAGTGGGGACACCATTGGGGACACCATATTGGGGACATGGGGACATGGCGTCCTTCAGGCAGTACAGGGCCAGGTGGCGCCGCGTCTGCGCGTCACCGTTCTGAGGGGACACAGGTGACATGGGGACACCATTGGGGACAGTGGGGACACCATGTTGGTGACAGTGGGGACACGACATTGGGGACATTAGGAACATTGGGGACACCCTTGGGGACACCATTGGGGACATCATTGACACATTGGTTGTCAGGGCTGGGACATTTGGAGACACAGGCGCCATTTTGGGGCCATTCTGGAGCCATTTAAAGCCATTTGAGGCCATTTTCTGGCCCCACCTGTAACTCCAGGTGGCCCAGGTGACCCCCAGGTGACCCCCAGGTGACATTTGGGGACATTTCTGGCCACACCTGCAGCTCGGTGATGATGCCGTGGGGCACGTCCTCCTTCTGCTCGTGCAGGAAATGGGCGCTGACGGCGTTCAGGGAGTACGAGCGCAGCTTGTGCTCCCTCAGCAGCACCTGGGGGAGCCCAAAATCCACCTGAGTGACCCCAAAACTCACCTGGGGGACCCCAAAATCCACCTGAGTGACCCCAAACCTGAGTGACCCCGAAACTCACCTGAGTGACCCCAAAACCCACCTGAGTGACCCCAAACGCACCTGGGGGAGCCCAAAACTCACCTGGGGGAGCCCGAAACCCACCTGAGTGACCCCAAAACTCACCTGGGGGAGCCCAGAACTCACCTGAGTGACCCCAAAACTCACCTGAGTGACCCCAAAACTCACCTGAGAGACCCCAAAACTCACCTGAGTGACCCAAGACTCACCTGGGCAAACCCGAAATCCACCTGAGTGACCACAGGCTCACCTGGGCAAACCCAAAATCCACCTGGGCAGGCCAAAGCTGTCCCCAGATCACTCCCAGGTGTGTCCAGGTGTCCCCAGGTGTGTCCCCAGGTGTGTTTTACCCCTCCCAGGTGTGTCCCTCACCTGCAGCATGTCCAGGGTCACCCTCCCAGGTGTGTCCCCAGGTGTGTCCAGGTGTGTCCCAGGTGTGTCCCTCACCTGCAGCATGTCCAGGGTCACCCTCCCAGGTGTGGTCACCACCTTGCCCTCCCCCAGGTGTGTCCCAGGTGTGCCCAGGTGTGTCCCTCACCTGCAGCATGTCCAGGGTCACTCTCCCAGGTGTGGTCACCACCTTGCCCTCCCTGCGGCCCAGCTGCCGGCTCTGGAACGCCGAATCCTTCACCTGGGACGGGACCCCCCGCACGCGGCCCAGGTACGGGAACGACGGCACCTGGGGACACGGGAGGGACAGGTGAGGGACAGGGGAGGGACAGGTGAGGGACACCTGGGGACACGGGAGGGACAGGTGAGGGACACCTGGGGCAGGGGAGGGACACCTGGGGACACCTGGGGCAGGGGAGGGACAGGGGAGGGGCTTGGGGACACCTGGGGACACGGGAGGGACAGGTGAGGGACAGGTGAGGGACACCTGGGGACACCTGGGAGGGGTTTGGGGACACCTGGGGCAGGGGAGGGACAGGTGAGGGACACCTGGGGACACCTGGGGACACGGGAGGGACACCTGGGGACACCTGGGGGCAGGGGAGGGACACCTGGGGACAGGTGAGGGGCTGGGGACACCTGGGAGGGGTTTGGGGACACCTGAGGGACAGGTGAGGAGCTGGGAGGGGTTTGGGGACACCTGGGACACACCTGGGATGGGTGAGGGACAGGTGAGGGACAGGTGAGGGGATGGGGACACCTGGGGCAGGGGAGGGACAGGGGAGGGACAGGTGAGGGACACCTGGGAGGGGCTGGGGAACCCCCCTGAACATGGCCCAGGTACAGGAATGACAACACCTGGGGACACCTGGGAGGGGTTTGGGGACACACCTGGGACAGGTGAGGGACTGGGGACACCTGGGGACAGGTGAGGGACATGGGAGGGACAGGTGAGGGACAGGTGAGGGGCTGGGGACACCTGGGGACAGGTGAGGGACAGGGGAGGGACTGGGGACAGGGGAACCCTCCTGAACATGGCCCAGGTATGAGAACGATGGCACCTCGGGACAGGTGAGGGACAGGTGAGGGACAGGTGAGGGTCTGGGGATACCTGGGAGGGGTTTGGGGACACCTGGGGACAGGTGAGGGACAGGGGAACCCCCCTGAACACAGCCCAGGTACGGGAATGAGGACACCTGGGACAGGGGAGGGGCTGGGGATACCTGGGAGGGGTTTGGGGACACCTGGGGGTCCCAGGTGAGTCCCAGGTGAGTCTCAGGGAGTTTTGGGGTGTCCCAGGTGAGCCTCACCTGCAGCACCTGCGCTCTCTGGATCAGGTTGGGGTTTTGGGGTAATTTGGGATTTTTTGGGGTCCCTGGGATTTGGGATTTTTGGGTGTCCCAGGTGAGTCCCAGGTGTTTCTCAGGGATGTTTTGGGGTGTCCCAGGTGAGCCTCACCTGCAGCACCTGCGCTCTCTGGATCAGGATGGGGGTTTTGGGGGGATTTGGGATATTTTGGGGTGTCTCAGGGATTTTTGGGGTGTCCTCACCTGCAGCACCTGCGCCCTCTGGATCAGGTTGGGGGTTTGGGGGAATTTGGGGTTTTTGGGGTGTCCCAGGTGAGTCCCAGGTGAGTCCCAGGTGTGTCTCTGGGATTTTTGGGGTGTCCCAGGGATTTTTGGGGTGTCCCAGGTGAGTCCCAGGTGAGTCCCAGGTGTGTCTCTAGGATTTTTGGGGTGTCCCAGGTATTTTTGGGGTGTCCCAGGTGAGCCTCACCTGCAGCACCTGGGCCCTCTGGATCAGGTTGGGGGTTTGGGGGAATTTGGGGTTTTTGGGGTGTCCCAGGTGTGTCCCAGGTGAGTCTCAGGGATATTTTGGGGTGTCCCAGGTGAGCCTCACCTGCAGCACCTGCGCTCTCTGGATCAGGTTGGGGGTTTTGGGGGGATTTGGGATTTTTTGGGGTGTCCCAGGTGTGTCTCAGGGAATTTTGGGGTCCCTGGGATTTGGGATATTTTGGGGTGTCCCAGGGATTTTTGGGGTGTCCCAGGTGCGCCTCACCTGCAGCACCTGCGCTCTCTGGATCAGGTAGGGGGTTTGGGGGGGATTTGGGATTTTTGGGGTCCCTGGGATTTGGGATTTTTGGGGTGTCCCAGGTGAGTCCCAGGTGTTTCTCAGGGATGTTTTGGGGTGTCCCAGGTGAGCCTCACCTGCAGCACCTGCGCCCTCTGGATCAAGATGGGGGTTTTGGGGGATTTGGGATTTTTGGGGTGTCTCAGGTATTTTTGGGGTGTCCTCACCTGCAGCACCTGGGCCCTCTGGATCAGGTAGGGCAGGTCGAAGTTGTGGATGTTGTAGCCCGTGATGATGTCGGGGTCCACGATGCGAACAAACTCCGCAAACGACTGCGGGCAGAGGGGTCACCCTCACCTGGGAGCCCCCAATTCCCAAAAACCCCAAAATCCCCGTTTTTCACCCCAAAATCACCGGTTTTCCTTCCCAAAATCCCCGGTTTTCACCCCAAAACCCCCACCTGCAGCAGGTCCCTCTCGCTGTCGAAGCTCCTGACCGTGGCTCCAAAACCACCCCCAAAATCCCCTGTAATCCCCTTAAATCGCCCCAAAAACCACCCCAAATCCACTCCAAACCCTTCCCAGACCCCTCCAAATTCCCAAAAGCCCCAAAATCCGGGTTTTTCACCCCAAAATCCCTGTTTTTCCTTCCCAAAATCCCCGTTTTTCACCCCAAAACCCCCACCTGCAGCAGGTCCCTCTCGCTGTCGAAGCTCCTGACGGTGCCTCCAAAACCACCCCCAAAATCCCCTTAAATCCACCCAAAATCGCCCCAAATCCACCCCAAACCCACCTGGGACCCCTTTCCACACCCCATAAATTCCCAAAAACCCCAAAAATTCAGGTTTTTTAACCCAAAATCCGAGTTTTTCACCCCAAAACCCCACCTGCAGCAGGTCCCTCTCGCTGTCGAAGCTCCTGACGGTGCCTCCAAGACCACCCCTGAAACCCCCTCAAAACTGCCTCAAAATCCCCCAAAACCACCCCAAAACCACCCCAAATCCCCTCCAAACCCTTCCCAAACCCCTCCAAATTCCCAAAAGCCCCAAAATGCGGGTTTTTCACCCCAAAAGCCGCACCTGCAGCAGGTCCCTCTCGCTGTCGAAGCTCCTGACGGTGGCCCCGCGCAAGGGGGCGCAGCTGAGCAGGGTGAACACCACCCTCAGGAAGGGCTCGCGCGCCCCCTGCCGCAGCGCCACGGCCGCGATGGCGATCACCGGGTCCTGCTGCGGCTCCGGGAACACCCCTGGGCACACCCAAAAACGCCAAAATTCACCCCAAAATCCGCTCCGGCACCCCCCCGGAAAAAAACCCCAAAAAAAACGACCCCGGAAAGGCCAAAATTCGCCCTAAAATCGAGGGAATTGCTTCGCTACAGCGACCCCCCGGTGGCGGAAACGTGGAACTGCAGCTCAAAAGACGCAACCTAGACTTGAACTGTATTTGCCCGAATTTGAGCGAAAAAACCCCAAAACTGAGGCCAAAACCCCAAAACTGAGCTAAAAACCCCCAAAATTGAGCTAAAAACCCCCAAAACTGAGTCCAAGACCCCAAAATTCAGATCTGCGACCCCAAAACCAGCCCTAAAAAAAACCCGAAAATGGCCCCAAATGCTCCTCGTGCAGCGACCCCTGGTGCCCCTGGTGACCAAAAAGTGCAACTGCGGCTCGAAAGGCAAAAGCCAAAATCCCTTAAAGGCCCCAAAAAAGGTCCTGGAAAGGCCAAAACTGCCCCAAATCCCATCCCAGTCCATCCCAGTCCATCCCAGTCCATCCCAGTGCTCCTTTAACCCCTCCCAGCTGTTCCCAGTTTCCCCAGTTCCCATCCCAGTTTGGTTTCCCAGTTTATCCCAGTTTATCCCAGTTTGGTTTCCCAGTTTACCCCAGTTTATCCCAGTTTGGTTTCCCAGTTTATCCCAGTTTATCCCAGTTTGGTTTCCCAGTTTATCCCAGTTTATCCCAGTTTGGTTTCCCAGTTTACCCCAGTTTATCCCAGTTTGGGTTCCCAGTCTCTCCCAGTTTCCCATCCCAGTCTCTCCCAGTTTATCCCCGTTTCCCCTCCCAGTTTCCCCCAGTTCCATCCCATTTTACCCCAGTTTCCCATCCCAGTTTACCCCAGTCTATCCCAGTCTCCCATCCCAGTCTATCCCAGTTCCCCTCCCAGTTTCCCATCCCAGTCTATCCCAGTTTTCCCATCCCAGTTTACCCCAGTTTCCCATCCCAGTCTCTCCCAGTTTATCCCAGTTTCCCCTCCCAGTTTCCCATCCCAGTCTATCCCAGTCTATCCCAGTTTCCCATCCCAGTTTACCCCAGTTTCCCATCCCAGTTTATCCCAGTTTGTCTCTCCCAGTTTATCCCAGTTTCCCATCCCAGTTTACCCCATTCTCTCCCAGTTTCCCATCCCAGTCTCTCCCAGTTTATCCCAGTTTGTCTATCCCAGTTTATCCCAGTTTCCCATCCCAGTCTCTCCCAGTTTATCCCAGTTTCCCCTCCCAGTTTATCCCAGTTTGTCTCTCCCAGTTTATCCCAGTTTCCGTTCCCAGTCTATCCCAGTCTCTCCCAGTTTATCCCAGTTTGTTTCTCACCTTTCCTCCCCGCGCACTCGATGTCGATGCTGAGCACGCGCAGCGGGGGGCAGCCCCAGCCACGCCCCCTCGGGGGCGTGGCCTCGAAGCCCCGCCCAGGCAGCGTCGGCCTCAAACTGGCACAGGGAGGACTTGGGGGGGGCGGCTTGGGGCCAATCCGGGGCGTTTTGGGCAAAATTCGGGGGATTTTGGGGAAAATTTGAGGAGTTTTGTGGCAAATTCGAGGGATTTTGGGAAAAATCCGGGGCGTTTTGGGGAAAATTCGGGGGATTTTGGGGAAAATTCGGGGGATTTTGGGCTGAATTCGGGGGATTTTGGGCCTGATTTGAGGAGTTTTGGGGTGAATTTGGAGAGTTTTGGGGCAAATTTGAGGAGTTTTGGGGCAGATTTGAGGATTTTGGGGTGGATTTGAGGGATTTGGGGGCAAATTTGAGGAGTTTTGGGGCAAATTTGAGGGATTTTCGGGTGGATTTGAGGGGTTTTGGGCCTGATTTGAGGAGTTTTGAGGTGGATTTTGGGAGTTTTGGGCTGGATTTTGGGAGTTTTGGGGAGAATTTTGGGGTGGATTTGAGGAGTTTTGAGGCGGATTTTGGGAGTTTTGGGGCAAATTTGAAGAGTTTTGAGGCGGATTTGAGGGATTTTGGGGTGAATTTGAGGGATTTTGGGGTGAATTTGGGGAGTTTTGGGGGTCCCCCCTCCACTGGAAGCTCCCCGGGGGCAGCTCCACCCAGCAGCAGCCGACCAGGCCCCGAGTCAGCCATGAACCTGGGCAACAAGGGGTTAAAATTCGGGGTTTTTGGGGGGAATTTGGGGGAATTTGGGGTTTATGGGGGAAATTTGGGTGATTTTGGGGGGTTTGAGGGGAGTTTGGGGGAAATTTGGGGAGAATTTGGGGGGTTTGAGGGGAAAATTTGGGGAACAAGGGGTTTTTATTATATTTTTTATTAAATATTTAAGGGATTTGAGGGAAAATTTGAGGGAAAATTTGGGTGATTTTGGGGGGGTTTCAGGGGAAATTTGGGGGTCAGGAAAGGTTTGGGGGGGAATTTGGGTGATTTTGGGGGGGTTTGAGGAAAATTTGGGGTTTATGGGGGAAATTTGGGTGATTTGGGGGGGTTTGGAGGAGAATTTGGGGGGAAATTTGGGGTTTTGAGGGAAAATTTGGGTGAATTTTGGGGTTTGAGGGAAATTTGGGGTCAGGAAAGGTTTGGGGGGAAATTTGGGGGAATTTGGGGGGAAATTTGAGGGAAAATCTGGGTGATTTTGGGGGGTTTGAGGGAAAATTTGGGCAACAAGGGGTTAAAATTTGGGAATTTGGGGGAATTTTGGGGGAATTTGAGGGAAAATTTGGGGGAAATTTGGGTAAATTTGGGGCATTTGAGGGAAAATTTGGGGGTCAGGAAAGGTTTGGGGGAAATTTGGGGGAATTTGGGGGGTTTGAGGGGAAAATTTGGGGAACAAGGGGTTAAAATTTGGGGTTTTGGGGGGAATTTGAGGGAAAATTTGGGGTTTATGGGGGAAATTTGGGTGATTTTGGGGATTTGAGGTAAAATTTGGGGTCAGGAAAGGTTTGGGGGGAAATTTGGGGCGTTTGAGGGGAATTTGGGGGTTAGGAAAGGTTTGGGGGAAATTTGGGTGATTTTGGGCTGGTTTTGGGCTGATTTTGTGGTTTTTGAGGTGGAATTTTGGGACAATTTTGGGGGGTTTTTTGGGGTAATTTAGGGATATTTGGGGTGGGATTTTGGGCTGATTTTGGGGTCATTTTTGGGTGGGATTTTGGGCTGATTTTGGGCTGATTTTGAGGTGGAATTTTGGGATTTTTTGTGGGATATTTTGGGGGATATTTTTTGGGTAATTTAGGGATATTTGATGTGGGATTTGGGGCCGATTTTTGGCCGATTTTCGGCTGATTTTGGGGTTTTTAAGGTGGATTTTTGGGTTTTTTTTGGGCAATTTAGGGATATTTAAGGTGGGATTTTGGGCTGATTTTGGAGTTTTTAAGGTGGATTTTTAGGGTTTTTTTGGGGGTAATTTAGGGATATTTGAGGTGGGATTTTGGGGCTCATTTTGGGCTGATTTTGGGCCGATTTGGGGCTGATTTGGGGCTGATTTTGAGGTGGAATTTTGGGGATTTTTTGGGGGATTTTTTGGGGTAACTTAGGGACATTTGGGGTGGGATTTTGGGCTGATTTTGCGGTGGTTTTGAGCTGATTTTGAGGTGGAATTTTGGGATTTTTTGGGGGATTTTTTTTGGGTAACTTAGGGATATTTGGGGTGGGATTTGGGGCCAATTTTGAGCTGATTTTGGGCCGATTTTGGGCTGATTTGGGGCTGATTTTGAGGTGGAATTTTGGGATTTTTTGGGGGATTTTTTTGGGGGATTTTTTGGGGTAATTTAGGGATATTTGGGGTGGGACTTTGAGGTGATTTTGGGCTGATTTTGGGAGAATTTTGGGGGATTTTTTGGGGCTAATTTAGAGATTTTTGGGGTGGGATTTTGGGCTGATTTGGGGCTGATTTTGAGGTGGAATTTGGGGATTTTTTGGGGGATTTTTTTGGGGATTTTTTGGGTTAACTTAGGGACATTTGGGGTGGGATTTTGAGGTGATTTTGGGATTTTTTGAGGTGGAATTTTGAGATTTTTTGGGGGATTTTTTTGGGGATTTTTTGGGCGATTTTTTGGGGGATTTTTTTGGGGGACTTTTTGGGGTAATTTTGGGATATTTGGGGTGGGATTTTGGGCCGATTTTGTGCTGATTTTGGGCCAGTTTGGGGCCGATTTTGGGCTGATTTTGGGCCGATTTTGAGGTGGAATTTTGAGATTTTTTGGGGGATTTTTTTGGGATTTTTTGGGGATTTTTTTGGGGATTTTTTGGGGTAACTTAGGGACATTTGAGGTGGGATTTTGGGGTGATTTTGGGGTGATTTGGGGCCGTTTTCTTACCTGATCTCGAAGTCGATGTTGGCCTCGTAGGGCGGCGCCGGCTGCACCCCCAGCGCCCCCCAGCGCAGGCCCCGCTCCAGGAGGCGCCGGGCAGGGGGCACCAAACGGGGCAGGGAGACCCCAACCCTCACAAAAAGGCTCTGCTGACCCCCCTGGAACCCCAAAATACCTGGGGGGAACAAGAGGGAAAGGTCACCCCAAAAAAAAACCCCGAAAAAATCCGAAATCGGGCAAAAAATCGGGAGGAAATGCAGGAAAATGAACCCAAAATTGGGCTCGGCCCCTCCCCCACCCGTCTGGGACCACCCCCCTGGGAGCCCAAAATATTGAGGGGGGGGTACCCCAAAAAATCCCAAATTGCCCCAAAAAATTGGGTAAAAATCAGTGAAAAGGAGCCCCAAAAGTGTCGAAAAATACCCAGAAAATGTCCCTTAAATGCACGCAAAATAGCCCAAAAATATTCCCCAAAAACACCCCAAAATCAACAAAAAATACCCCAAAAACACCCCCAAAATCATCAAAAAATACCCCAAAACCCATCCCCAAAATCAACAAAAAATACCCCAAAAACATCCCTAAAAATAGCCCCAAAAAACCCCAAAAAATCCCAAAAAATTGAACAAAAATGCCCCTAAAAACTCCAAAAATGCCCCCAAAATCAACCAAAGATCAGCTCCAAAAATCTCCAAAAATGCCCCAAAAATATTCCCCAAAAATGCCCCAAAAACCACAAAAATGCCCCAAAAATATTCCCCAAAAATCACAAAAAATGCCTCAAAAATATTCCCCAAAAATGCCCCAAATGCCCCAAAAATGCCCCAAAAATATTCCCCAAAAATGCCCCAAAAACCACAAAAAATGCCCCAAAAATGCCCCAAAAAACTCCAAAAATGCCTCAAAAATATTCCCCAAAAAAGCCCCAAAAACCTCCAAAAATGCCCCAAAAATGCCCCAAAAATATTCCCCAAAAATGCCCCAAAAATATTCCCCAAAAATGCCCCAAAAACCACAAAAAATGCCCTCAAATCAACCCAAAAATGTCCCAAAAACCACAAAAAATGCCCTCAAAATCAACCCCAAAAATGTCCCAAAAACCACAAAAAAATGCCCCAAAAACCTCCAAAAATGCCCCAAAAATATTCCCAAAAATGCCCCAAAAACCACAAAAAATGCCCCAAAAATATTCCCTAAAAAACTCCAAAAATGCCCCAAAAATATTCCCCAAAAATCCCCAAAATTGCCCCAAAATTCAGGGCCAAGGGGGCATTTTTGGGTTCATTTTTGGGGCATTTTTGGGCATTTTTGGAGCAGTTTTAGGGTTGATTTTGGGGAATTTTTGGGTCATTTTATTTGATTTCTGGGGCATTTTTGGAGCAGTTTTAGGGTTGATTTTGGGGATTTTTTTGGGTTCATTTTATTTGATTTTTGGGGCATTTTTGGGCATTTTCAGGGTTGATTTTGGGGAATTTTTGGGGTCATTTTATTTCATTTCTGGGGCATTTCTGGACATTTTTGGGGATTATTTTTGGGGCATTTTTGGAGCAGTTTTAGGGTTGATTTTGGGGCATTTTTTGGGCTCTTTTGGTCGATTTTTGGGGCATTTTTGGAGCAGTTTTAGGGTTGATTTTGGGCATTTTTTGGGCATTTTTAGGGTTGATTTTGGGGAATTTTTTGGTTCATTTTAATTGATTTCTGGGCTATTTCTGGACATTTTTGGGAACATTTTTGGAGCAGTTTTAGGATTCATTTCATGGCATTTTTTTGGGCTCTTTTGCTCCATTTTTGGAGCCGTTTTAGGGTTGATTTTGGGGCATTTTTTGGGCATTTTTAGGGTTGACTTTGGGGAATTTTTTGGCTCATTTTATTTGATTTCTGGGGCCATTTCTGGACATTTTTGGAGCAGTTTTAGGATTCATTTCATGTCCATTTTGGCCTCTTTTTGTTCATTTTTGGGCCATTTTCCCCATTTTTTCCGCCGTTTTTTCCCCAAAATTCCCAAATTCCCCAAACAATTTTCAAATTCCCAAATTTTTTTTGGGATTTTCCTCACTCTGTTTCCGGACCAGCTGCAGCCCCAGGACGTTTTTGGGGGGCCCAGATTTGGGGTTTGCCCCCCTCTGCTCCCTCCTGAGCGCCGCCTCCAGCTCCTGCTCCAGGGGCTCCAGGTGCGCCTCGGTCACGCCTGCAAAGGACAAAATTCAGCAAAATTCACCCAAATTCAACAAAATTCACCCAAATTTACCCAAAATCCAAGGCATTTCCCATGGTTGCATCATGAAAGATGCCCTGGGATTTTCAAATTCCCAAAAAACCCCAAAAATTCCCAAAATTTCCATCCAAAAATGCCCCAAAATTCACCTCAAATCCCACCCAAATTGTCCCCAAAATTCCACCTCAATTCCCATCCAAAATCCCCCCCAAAATTCACAAATTTCACCTCAAATCCCATCCAAAAATTCCCCCAAAATTCACAAATTTCACCTCAAATCCCCCCAAAAATTCCATCCAAAAATTCCCAAATTTCACCTCAAATCCCACCCAAATTCTCCCCAAAAATCCCCCCCCCCAAAATTCACAAATTTCACCTGAAATCCCCAAAAAATTCCATCCAAAAATTCCCTCAAAATCCCCAAATTTCACCTGAAATCCCCAAAAAATTCCATCCAAAAATTCCCCCAAAATTCACAAATTTCACCTGAAATTCTGCCCAAATTCTCCCCAAAATTCCCACCCAAAAATTCCCCAAAATTCACAAATTTCACCTCAAATTCTGCCCAAATTTCCCCCAAATTTCCTCAGGCTCAGATTCCCAAAATTTGCCCCAAAATTCCATCCAAAAATGCCCCAAAATTCACAAATTCCACCTCAAATCCCACCCAAAAATTCCCAAATTCCACCTCAATTCCCATTCAAAAATTCCCCAAAAATTCCCAAATTCTGCCCAAATTTCCCCAGCTCAAATCCCAAAATTCGCCCCAAATTTCACCTCAAATCCCCCAAAAATTCCACTCAAAAATTCCCCAAAATTCCCAAATTTCACCTCAAATCCCACCCAAATCACCCAAAAAAATCCCCAAATTACCCCCCAAAATCCACAAAAATCCCAAAAATTCCCAAATTCTTCCCGAATTCCCAAAAAATTCCCCAAAATTCCCGAAATTTTCAGCACCGAGATCCCAAAATTCCCAAATTCCACCTCAAATCCCCAAAAAAATTCCATCCAAAAATTCCCCAAAATTCCCAAATTTCACCTCAAATCCCACCCAAAAATTCCCAAAATTCCACCCAAAAAATGACCCAAAATTCCCAAAAATTCCCCAAAATTCCCAAATTTCCCAATCGGGGCCAATTCCGGGGATTTTGGGGCTCCCCTGGAGGCGCTGAGGCTCCAAAATTTGGATTTTTGGGGCCATTTTGGGCCATTTTGGGCCAAATTTTCACGGGAATTTCACCAAATTTTGGGGTTTTTTGGGGGGAATTTTGGGGATTTTGGGGTCAGGGATTTTGGGGTGAATTCGGGCGATTTTGGGGCTCACCTGGGGGCGCTGAATCCCCATAATTTCTGGTTTTTGGGTCAATTTTGGGTCAATTTTGGGTCAATTTTGGGCCATTTTAACTGAATTTTTTGGGATTTTTTTGTGGAATTTTGGGGTTTTTTGGGGGAATTTTGGGGATTTTGGGGTGGGGATTTTGGGGTGAATTCTGTGGATTTTGGGGCTCACCTGGAGAAACCAGGACACACAAAAAGCCCCAAAATCTCAGTTTTTGGGTCATTTCAAGCCCGATTTTCACAGAATTTCACCGAATTTTGGGGTTTTTTTGGGGGGAATTTTGGGGTTTTTGGGGTGGGGATTTTGGGGTGAATTCGGGGGATTTTGGGGCTCACCTGGAGGAACCAGGACAAAAAATCTCCATTTTTGGGCCATTTTCAGCCCGATTTTCACGGGAATTTCGCTGAATTTTGGGGTTTTTTGGGGGGAATTTTGGGGATTTTGGGGTCGGGATTTTGGGGTGAATTCGGGCGATTTTGGGGCTCACCTGGCGGCGCTGAATCCACACAGAAACTCCCAAAATCGCCATTTTTGGGCCATTTTTGGGCCATTTTCAGCCCGATTTTCACGGGAATTTCGCCGAATTTTGGGGATTTTTGGGGGGAATTTTGGGGATTTTGGGGGTGGGGATTTTGGGGTGAATTCTGGGGATTTTGGGGCTCACCTGGAGGAACCAGGAGAAAAAAATCTCCATTTTTGGGCCAGTTTTGGGCCATTTTAGGGCCGATTTTCACGGGAATTTCGCTGAATTTTGGGGTTTTTTGGGGGGAATTTTGGGGATTTTGGGGTCAGGGATTTTGGGGTGAATTCGGGGGATTTTGGGGCTCACCTGGGGGCACTGAATCCCCAAAATCTCCATTTTTGGGTCATTTTTGGGTCATTTTCAGCCCGATTTTCATGGGAATTTCGCCGAATTTTGGGGTTTTTTGGGGGGAATTTTGGGGTTTTTGGGGTGGGGATTTTGGGGTGAATTCGGGCGATTTTGGGGCTCACCTGGCAGCGCCAGGACAAAAAATCTCCATTTTTGGGTCATTTTTGGGCCATTTTCAGCCCGATTTTCACGGGAATTTCGCTGAATTTTGGGTTTTTTTGGGGGGAATTTTGGGGTTTTTGGGGTGGGGATTTTGGGGTGAATTCGGGGGATTTTGGGGCTCACCTGGGGCTGCTCAATCCCTAAAATTTCTGATTTTTGGGCCATTTCAAGCCCGATTTTCACGGGAATTTCACCGAATTTTGGGGTTTTTTGGGGGGAATTTTGGGGTTTTTGGGGCAGGGGATTTTGGGGTGAATTCCGTGGATTTTGGGGCTCACCTGGGGGCACTGAATCCCCAAAATCTCCATTTTTGGGTCATTTTTGGGTCATTTTCAGCCCGATTTTCACGGGAATTTCGCCGAATTTTGGGGTTTTTTGGGGGGGATTTTGGGGTTTTTGGGGTCGGGGATTTTGGGGTGAATTCCGTGGATTTTGGGGCTCACCTGGGGCTGCTGAATCCCCAAAATTTCCATTTTTGGGTCAATTTTGGGCCATTTTCAGCCCGATTTTCACGGGAATTTCACCGAATTTTGGGGTTTTTTTGGGGGAATTTTGGGGATTTTGGGGCTGGGGATTTTGGGGTGAATTCGGGGGATTTTGGGGCTCACCTGGCGCTACTGAATCCCCAAAATCTCCATTTTTGGGTCATTTTTGGGCCATTTTCAGCCCGATTTTCACAGGAATTTCACCAAATTTTGGGGTTTTTTTTCAGGAATTTTGGGATTTTGGGGCAGGGATTTTGGGGTGAATTCGGTGGATTTTGGGGCTCACCTGGCGGCGCTGAATCCACACAGAAACTCCCAAAATCTCCGTTTTTGGGTCATTTCAAGCCCGATTTTCACGGGAATTTCGCCGAATTTTGGGGTTTTTTTTCAGGAATTTTGGGGATTTTGGGGTCGGGGTTTTGGGGTGAATTCGGGCGATTTTGGGGCTCACCTGGGGGTGCTGAATCCCCATAATTTCCGATTTTTGGGTCAATTTTGGGTCAATTTTGGGCCATTTTGACCAAACTTTTTGGGATTTTTTTGTGGAATTTTGGGGTTTTTTCTCTGGAATTTTGGGGATTTTGGGCTCAGGATTTTGGGGTGAATTCCGGGGATTTTGGGGCTCACCTGGTGCTGCTGAATCCCCAAAATCTCCATTTTTGGGTCAATTTTGGGGCCATTTTCAGCTCGATTTTCACGGGAATTTCGCTGAATTTTGGGGTTTTTTTGGGGGGAATTTTGGGGATTTTTTGGTGGGGGATTTTGGGGTGAATTCAGGGGATTTTGGGGCTCACCTGGGGGTGCTGAGTCTGCCCAGTTCCCCCAAAAATCTCCATTTTTGGGCCATTTTTGGGCCATTTTAGGCCTGATTTTCACGGGAATTTCACCGAATTTTGGGGTTTTTTGGGGGGAATTTTGGGGTTTTGGGGCAGGGATTTTGGGGTGAATTCGGTGGATTTTGGGGCTCACCTGGCGGAACCAGAACGTACAAAATCTCCATTTTTGGGCCATTTTCAGCCCGATTTTCACGGGAATTTCGCCGAATTTTGGGGTTTTTTGGGGGGGATTTTGGGGTTTTTGGGCTCAGGATTTTGGGGTGAATTCTGTGGATTTTGGAGCTCACCTGGAGAAACCAGGACACACAAAAAGCCCCAAAATCTCCGTTTTTGGGTCATTTCAAGCCCGATTTTCACGGGAATTTCGCTGAATTTTGGGGTTTTTTGGGGGGAATTTTGGGGTTTTTGGGGTGGGGATTTTGGGGTGAATTCTGTGGATTTTGGGGCTCACCTGGGGGGGCCAGCACATGGAAGTAGGGGCTGAAGCCGTGCAGGTGCAGGCAGCAGCTCCGCCCCTCCCCCGTCACCCCGAACACCCGCAGGATGGGGGAGGGGTGGGGCCAGCCCGGGAAACCCCGCGGGGGAACCCCTGGGAAAGAGAGAGAGAAAAATGGGGGAATTGGGAAATTTGGGGAAATTTGGGGGGATTTGGGGAAAATTGGGGAAAATTTGGGGAGGAAATTGGGGAATTTGGGGAAAATTGGGGGGATTTGGGGAGGAAATTGGGGGAAATTGGGGGGATTTGGGGAGAAAATTGGGGATTTTGGGGATTTTGGGGAAAATTTGGGGAAGAAATTGGGGAATTTGGGGATTTTGGGGGGAAATTTGGGGATTTTGGGGAAAAATTGGGGATTTTAGAGGAGTTTGAGGGAGATTTGGGGAGGAATTTGGGGGAAATTTGGGGATTTTGGGAAAAATTTGGGGGGATTTTGGGGGGAAATTTGGGGAGTTTTGAGGGAGATTTGGGGGGAAATTTGGGGAGAAATTTGGGGATTTTGGGGGGAAATTTGGGGATTTTAGAGGGAGATTTGGGGATTTTAGAGGGAGATTTGGGGATTTTGGGGAGAAATTTGGGGAGAAATTTGGGGATTTTGGGGGAAATTTGGGGAATTTGGGGATTTTGGGGGAAAATTTGGGGGTTTTGGGGAGAAATTTGGGGATTTTTGGGAGGAATTTGGGGATTTTTGGGGAGTTTAGAGGGGTTTGAGGGAGATTTGGGGAGGAATTTGGGGGGAAATTTGGGGAGGAATTTGGGGATTTTGGGGAGGAATTTGGGGGATTTTAGAGGGGTTTGAGGGAGAATTGGGGGGAAATTTGGGGATTTTGGGGGGAAATTTGGGGATTTTGGGGAGGATTTTGGGGAGAAATTTGGGGATTTTGAGGGGGAATTTGGGAAATTTGGGGGAAATTTGGGGAAAATTGGGGATTTTAGAGGGGTTTGAGGGAGATTTGGGGGGAATTTGGGGATTTTGGGGGAAATTTGGGGATTTTGGGGGAAATTTGGGGATTTCAGGGATTTCAGAGGGGTTTGAGGGAGATGTGGAGGGAAATTTGGGAATTTTGGGGGGAAATTTGGGGATTTTCGGAAGTTTGGGGGGAATTTGGGGAGAAATTTGGGGATTTGGGGGAGATTTGGGAATTTTGATGGGGAATTTGGGGATTTTGAGGGGAATTTGGGGATTTTGGGGGGAATTTGGGGGGATTTGGGGGATATTTGGGGATTTTGGGGGGAATTTGGGGATTTGGGGGGAAAATTTGGGGATTTTGAGGAGTTTAGAGGGAGATTTGGGGAAATTTGGAATTTTGGGGATATTAGAGAGGTTTGAGGGAGATTTCAGAGGAAATTTGGGAAATTTTGGGGAAAATAGGGGGGAATTTGGGGAGTTTAGAGGGGTTTGAGGGAGATTTGGGGAGAAATTTGGGGATTTTGGGGGATTTGGGAAGTTTGGGAATTTGGGGGAGTTTTGAGGGAGATTTGGGGATTTTTTTGGGGTGAATCCGGGCGGTTTTGGGGGATTTTGAGGGGGATTTTTCAGGGCATTTTAAGGGGCATTTTCAGGGAGGTTTTTGGGGTGAATTTGGGGGATTTTAAGGGGGATTTTTGGGGGATTTTTTGGGGGCATTTTTCAGGGGGATTTTTGGGGGGATTTTTTGGGGGATTTTTGGGGACATTTTAAGGGGGATTTTTTGGATTTCCCAGGGGTTTTTTGGGGTGAATCTGGGCGGTTTTGGGGGATTTTAAGGGCGTTTTTGGGGGATTTTTGGGGGCATTTTTGGGGGATTTTTGGGGGGATTTTGGGGATTTCCCAGGGGTTTTTTGGGGTATTTTTTGGGGGATTTTGGGGAATTTCTCAGGGGGGTTTTGGGGGTGAATTTGGGGGCATTTTTCGGGGGATTTTTGGGGTGATTTCTCGGGGGATTTTGGGGATTTCTCAGGGAGGTTTTTGGGGTGAATTTGGGGGATTTTAAGGGGGATTTTTGGGTGAATTTGGGGGATTTTCAGGGGGTTTTTTGGGGGATTTTCAGGGGGTTTTTGGGAGGATTTTTGGGGGGCATTTTTCAGGGGATTTTTGGGGTGAATTTGGTGGATTTTAAGGGGGATTTTGGGGTGAATTTGGGGGATTTAAGGGGATTTTTGGGGGCATTTTTCAGGGGATTTTTGGGGTGAATTTGGGGAATTTTGGGAGGATTTTTCAGGGGATTTTTGGGGTGATTTTTCGGGGGATTTTGGGGATTTCTGAGGGGTTTTTTGGGGTGAATCCGGGCGGTTTTGGGGGATTTTAAGGGGGTTTTTTGGGGGCATTTTTCAGGGAATTTTTGGGGTATTTTTGGGGGGATTTTTGGGAATTTCTCAGGGGGATTTTGGGGGTGAATTTGGGGGATTTTAAGGGGGATTTTTGGGTGAATTTGGGGGATTTAAGGGGATTTTTGGGGGCATTTTCAGGGGGTTTTTTGGGGTGATTTTCAGGGGGATTTTTGGGAATTTCTCAGGGGGATTTTGGGGTGAATTTGGGGGATTTTGGGGGCATTTTTCGGGGAATTTTTGGGGTGATTTCTCGGGGGATTTTGGGGATTTTCAGGGAGGTTTTTGGGGTGAATTTGGGGAATTTTGGGGGCATTTTTCAGGGGATTTTTGGGGGATTTTCAGGGGGTTTTTGGGGGATATTGAGGGGGATTTTGGGGATTTCCCAGGGATGTTTTTGGGGTGAATCTGGGCAGTTTTGGGGGATTTTAAGGGTTTTTTTTGGGGGATTTTTGGGGGGATTTTGGGGGGATTTTTCAGGGGATTTTTGGGGTGAATTTGGGGCATTTTGGGGGGATTTTAAGGGGGATTTTTGGGGGATTTTTCAGAGGATTTTTGGGGATTTTCCAGGGTTTTTTTGGGGTGAATCCGGGCGGGTTTGGGGGATTTTAAGGGGGTTTTTGGGGGACTTTTGGGGGCATTTTTCAGGGGATTTTTGGGGTGAATTTGGTGGATTTTAAGGGGGATTTTTGGGCGAATTTGGGGGATTTTAAGGGGGTTTTTTGGGGTGATTTTCAGGGGGATTTTGGGGATTTCCCAGGGGTTTTTGGGGTTAATCCAGGCGGGTTTGGGGGATTTTTGGGGTATTTTTGGGGGGATTTTCAGGGGGATTTTTGGGGGGATTTTTGGGGGGATTTCCCAGGGGTTTTTTGGGGTGAATCCGGGCGGTTTTGGGGGATTTTAAGGGGGTTTTTGGGGGACTTTTGGGGGCATTTTTCAGGGGATTTTTGGGGTGAATTTGGTGGATTTTAAGGGGGATTTTGGGGTGAATTTGGGGGATTTAAGGGGATTTTTGGGGGGCATTTTTCAGGGGATTTTTGGGGTATTTTTTGGGGATTTTTGGGAATTTCTCAGGGGGATTTTGGAGTGAATTTGGGGGATTTTTGGGGGGATTTTCAGGGGGTTTTTGGGGGGATTTTCAGGGGGTTTTTGGGGACATTTTAAGGGGGATTTTGGGGATTTTCCAGGGATGTTTTTGGGGTGAATCCGGGCGGTTTTGGGGGATTTTAAGGGGGTTTTTGGGGGACTTTTGGGGGGATTTTTCAGGGGATTTTTGGGGTGAATTTGGTGGATTTTAAGGGGGATTTTTGGGTGAATTTGGGGGATTTAAGGGGATTTTTGGGGGCATTTTTCAGGGGATTTTTGGGGTGAATTTGGGAGATTTTGGGGGCATTTTTCAGGGGATTTTTGGGGTGATTTTCGGGGGATTTTGGGGATTT